GTTCCCTAATTTGGACCTGCCTGATCACCGCCCATGTGGTTGGCGTCAGTGGTGTGTGGTCCCGTCACACCACACCGAGGTGTCAGGTTGTCCTGATCTCCGTCGTTCAGTGAAGGTGGTATCTACTAGGTCTTTCCGCTGTGAAGGCCCTCGCGTCCGTCTGGGACTGTCCCTTTTCTCCTCTGTGAGAATCTGCAGGAAGATCTCTGGGGACCGCAGGGTCCCTCCAGCAGCCACCTTGCCGAGGCCACTGCTGCTCCGGCCTGGATCCGTGGTTGTGACCTGGCCCTGATGGAACAGGGGTTTCCTAGTGCTGTCCTTCCTTTTTGTGGTTAGTAGATGACGCTTTGCGCAAAATTTGCTTCCCCGCACATTTTTCTTGAGCATCACTGTGTGGTTTATACTACTTTACCATCTTTTTTCTTTCTGGTGCTCAAATTATTCCAGAATTGGTGAGTGGAAGCCCATTCAGGTTCATTCCTATGTCCTTTTGACATGATTGCATCAAATTATTTGACGTTTCCTTGTTTCTGGTAACAAATGCTTCAGGCCCACCTTGACCTTCCCCTCCTCCAGACTTGTCATCAGCCATCTTGCGAAGAGGGTTCCTTTCTCGTAGGGAATGGTGTTTAGAAACCAAGGTCTGATGCCGTTTGCTCTCGGCTGCTGAGTTGTCACCGCTTCCAGGTCTTTCCTGTGGGCAGAGCCGGGACATGCGTTGATGTCTTTAACGAGATTGGAATGCTTCTGTTTTGTCAGAGGCTGCAGAAACTAGGGGGCTGGTACCTTTAAGGACTTCAGAGAGTGAAGTTAGGTCGGCTTCTTGCAGCCTGCCTCCTCCCTAACCCTCTAGAAAGTTGGGATTTTCTGTGCCAGCAGCGTGCAGCCTTCATTAACCTTAGTGTCTCTGACAGGTAGGCCACGGTCAGTGAGCACAGAAACAAGACGCCAGATTCATGGTTTACTTAGTAAGCTTTTATTCCCTAATTCAAAACATGGTTATGAGATGGCACCTTTGTTTTAGTCATTGGGTAAGGTCCTTATTCTCCCTGGGACACAGGGCGATCCGGGCTCGTGCTCTGCCCTGCGGCCGAGCCGCGTGTCTGGCGGCAGGGTGACTGGCAGACGCCGGAAGGAGCGGGGCGGGAGGCAGGTGCGGCTGGCTGCTCTTTTCAGCGACAGAGAAACACACTGGGTTCCCGGGTCAGTCGCTCAGTAGCCTGCAGACCCTGAACGTCATCTGTTCGGGGCTCCCAAGGCCGGCGCAAGCAGTCTGCAAACCCCAGCCTGCTGGGGCGGCCGCACCGACCGGGATGGGAAGTTTTTACTCTGTTTTCATTTCAAGGCTGGGCTCTGTGGGCAGGGCCTTATCCTGGCCACTGTATTTCAAGAACTTAAATGATGTTGCAGGTGTTTTGGAAATGATCTAGTAGGTACTTAACAGGAGAGAGCCTAGCTGAGTTTCTTGGTAAGTGTCTGCTCTACACGTTATGTAACTTAAAAACTGTTTTTTTTAAGGCCTTGTATTCTCAATTCCTTAGTACGTCATAGTGCTGGAATGTATCGTACAAAACCAGTTTTTTTGTTGTTTTTTTTAATGTAGTACAATTTAGAAGTCAGTCTAGATGGTTTTCAGTGTCAGTGTGTAGAACAAAGGACAGCATTTTCCCTAGAATTGTCCGTGGGTGCAGTACTTCATACTGACACATTTGAGGGCCTCATTGAGACTCATCTGTGGTATGATCTGAGCACTTGAATAAACTTCTTAAATGCTGTTTATTATAAAAGGCATTGAGACAAATACCGTGTGATTTATCAAGATTAAAGCAGTCATGGGATTCAGAATATACTATCTGAGTGGAGGAAGGGAGTTCAACTCCTGAAGTAAAACCTTCTGGAAAACAAATACAATTGTCATCATGTGGGTTTTGCCTTCCTTCTAGACCATCTCGTGCAGACCTCTCTGCACCGGTGCCTCTGGTCACGTGGGAGGGCCCCCCCTTCCCCGCCCGCCTGCTGAGTAGATCCCCTTCCTAAGGGCAGGGCCTCCTGCTGGTCTAGGTCCCCCACGGGGTCAGTGCCCAGGAGGCACGCGCCCCATCACGGTGCCACCGCACGCCATCAGTTCCCTTCTCTTCGCGCCGTGAGTCGCTGCTCAGGGCCTGAGGCGTCCGTGGCGCTGCGCTCCTGGTTCTCTTTCCTGGGATGCTCTCCGCTCGCTGCTGGCTGTGCGCAGACCCTCCCACACGGGGGGCCCCGTGCCAATGCCGCCTCTTCCACGAAGCCTCCCCAACCGCCACCCCTCGGGCCCAGGGTGCTCTCTCCCCTGAAGCGGTTGGAGCGCCTGCTTACCCTGGGTCACTCGGCACCTCCCCGACTCCCTCTCCGACGGTCTGCGTCCCCATCCCTCCCTCTCCGCTTCCCTCCCCGCCCAGTGCCCAGCACGGTTTCCTGGCTTGCTGCGTGGCTCGCAGGAGCGCAGCTTCAGATGTCAGATCGGTGTGGCCCTGTGATGTTATGGAGAGAGGATGAGCTACGTGCCAGAGACCCGAGCATTCCCTGGGTTGGGGCGGGAGTGAAATTCCTGGGGGGCGGCGTTAGTGGCTGAGCTGCTTCGGGGGGTCTGCCGCGCCTGCTCTTGGGACCTGAGTATCGCTTGGAGGCAGACGGTCAGGCCCGTTCAAGGGGGGTCTCCGGAGACTGCTCCCTGAAGGCAGAGTTTTTTACTGTGATGGGTGTTCCGAGGCTGCTTGAGCCCTGTTAGAGGTAAAATCAGGGCAGTCTGTGTCATTTCCACTTTGTCGTTGATCTTTTCAATACCATCCGTTTCTTCCCTACACCTGTGCTTGGTTTTGATGAAGATGACAGTCCCGTCCATTTGCCGCCACTCTCAGGACAGCCTCATGGAGGAGCGACAGCCGCCAACGCAGCGCGCTCAGCTGGCAGCCCCTTCCTGGGGAGCCGGGGCGCAGCTGCTGAGGCCAGCCCGGCCCCTCCTTCCCGCTGGACTCACCCCGCACCCGGGGCCCCCGCTCGCCGGAGCCTGTGAGGCCCTGCATGGCCTGGGTGGGGGGGTGGGGTCAGCAACTGCTTTGGTTCAGTGACCTGCATAGATGGCTACAGGGTGAACTAATAATCTGGAACCTGTGTGTGTTTTCCAAAAGCTCAGATGCATTATACGAGGTCAGTCCGGAATGTATCCAGCCATGTGACATGAAAAACAGAGATATTTATTGAAGAAGATACAAGAAACATTGTACATAGGACAATGATACCTCTGTCCCCTTCAAAGTAGGCACCTTGGGACCTCACACAGTTCTCCCAGTCGCCATCAGCTGCCCCATCATGTTTTCCTGAGTCTCATTGATGGTCTGAAATCGCTTCCCTTTAAAAAAAAATTATTTATTTTTAGACAGAGGGGAAAGGAAGGAGAAAGAGAGGTAGAGAAACATCAGTGTATGGTTGCCTCTTGCATGCCCCCTGCTGGGGACTTGGCCGGGGACCTGGTCTGCAACTCAGACAGGTGCCCTGACTGGAAATCAAACTGACGACCCTTTGATTCGCAGGCCGGCGCTCAGTCCACTGAGCCACGCCAGCCAGGGCTGAAATCTCTTCTTTTTCAAAGGTGATTTTAGGTTTGGGAAAAGCCAGAAGTCTCAGGGAGCCAAATCTGGGCTGGTGGGGGCTGAGTCACCTGGGTGATTTGATGTTTCACCAAAAAACTGTGCATGAGACATGATACATGAGCGGGCATGTTGCTGTGATGAAGCTGCCAATCACCAGTTGCCCATAGTTGCGGCCTTTTGAATCATCCAAATAGTTTCCTTAGAGGAATGTTTAAGCTTGACGCAAAATTTGATACAGATTCATTGCTCTACTTGCTCAGTCATTTTGAATGCGACAGCCACACAGTACACAGGCTCACTCAGTGGCGTCTGCCGGCCCCACTGACTACTACAGTGAAGTCGTCATTGTTCACGCATGCGCGTTCCAGGCCCCCCTCCTTGGCTGCCAGGTTCCATCATGTCACACAGACTATCTTGTTATATTGACAATGGCTGCACTTTTACCACACAGACCTTGCATGTATGGTAAATTGTTTAATTAAATTGTTTATTTCCAGATAATTAGGTTCACGATATGTTAGCATTGCTCTCAAGGAATAATGTGGAGAGATCCCATGAGCCCCTTACCCACTGCGCCCAGTGGAACCCTCCTGGGGAACTGCAGTGCATCCTCACAGCCGGGTGTTGACACTGAGCCCACCCGGCTACGGGGGCTTCGCAAGCCTGTTGCCCTGTTACAGCCACACCCACTCCCCCCAGCCCTGCCCCTTCCTTCACTCCTGGCAACCACTAATATATGACTTCTCCATTTCTATAGTTTTGTTAGTTCAGGAATGTTACAGAAATGTGTAAATGGGTGATCCGTTTTGAGTTCATCTTTGTTCCAGGTGGACGGGGTTCAGGCCAAGGCTGGTTGGTTTTGCCCGTGGGTGTACACTTCTCCCGCGATGCTCGTGGGAAGGCTGTTCTTCCCCTCGCATTGCCTGTGCTCCTCTGTCGGAAGCGAGTTGGGCCTGTCTGTGGGATCAGTTCATGGCGGCCGTCCGCTCTGTCCGTCGGCCCGTGGGGCGCTGGCAGAAGGGCAGGCGCACGTGGCGTGAGCCTGAATACTGGCTCCAGCGGCCCCTCCCTATCGACTCTTTCTCAGAAATTGTTTTCGTTCCTTTTCCTTTCTGTATAAATTTTAAAATAATCTTGTCTCTAGCTACAAATAAACATCTAGCTGGGGTTTGGATAGAATAACGTGAAACCTCTGTATCCACGTGGGGAGGATCGGCCTCTTTACTCGAATGTCGAGCCTCCAGTCCATGAACGTCGAATGTTCTTCATGAAGGCCGGAGGCGTGAAGACGAAAGTAGCAGGAATGTGTCGGTGAGAGATGATTTGACCCCAGTGGCAAGCTCTCAGTTCCTTTTTTTTCAAATTTATCCATAGGCCTATGAAAGGAGGTTCCCGACGTGTCCTTTGATTCCGATGTTTGTGGACAGTGACATTGTGAATGAATTCAAGAGTGAGGATGGGGCTGTTCACGTCGTAGAAAGACGCTGCAAGCTGGACATAGACGCACCCCGGCTGCTGAAAAAGGTGACCGCTGCGCCCCGCGGAGGTGCCCCCAGACCAAAATGAATTGTGTTCCACTCCTACTGCAGTTGGGTGGTACTAATATGTCCTTTTTCTCTTTATTTCTCCTTTAAAGATTGCAGGAGTTGACTACGTTTATTTTGTCCAGAAAAACTCATTGAATTCTCGGGAACGCACTTTGCACATCGAGGCCCATAACGAGACGTTCGCCAACCGGGTCATCATCAAGGAGCACTGCTGCTACACCGTGAGTACCGGCACCACGTCGCTACGCAGGGCGCGCCCGCACCCGCCACGAGCGCCCGTCCCCGCTCCCCACCGCACAGCGGGGCAGCAGGCCGCCGCTGCGGCTCCCTGCAGAGGTATTGCTTTCCTGTGACCTGCTTTTCTGGCTTGCACCGGCGCCTCGGCGACGCGCACTGAAGGACCCCCACGCCGCGACCTCCGGGAGCGGTGCCTTGCGTGGGTCTGCCCTCCGTCTTCGCTGCCCACCATCGCTCCCGGGGCGCCTGTCAGCCGGTTATGGGAGCGCCTCCTGGGTGGGGGCCTCCCCCCGCCCTCCCACAGTGTGTCTGCGCCGACTCCAGAACGGCCCCGATGGTGTGTCACGCCACGTCACACTGTCTCTGGGCTCCAGACCCGGCAGCGTCTCGGCATTTCACTCAGAGTAAATCACTCCTCTGCCGTCCCTGTGCACACGCTCTGCTGACCTGGCTGGTCCTGCTCATGGGCGGGGGTGTGGGGCGCACCGCCCCTAAAACAGGGAGCTCTGCTGCGCTGCCCCCGCCCTCTGCCCAGCTCCCGCCCTCTCTTCCTCGGGCCTCTGCTCGGGTCTCCCTCCCCCTAGGTCGGCCCTGGACGCCCTGTTTAACCCTGCAGCCTGCTCCCCCCGCAGTCGGTGTTACCATATCATGAGGGAGATTTTAACCCCGCTCCGCCCTTTCCCTTTGCCCATCGCACATCTTCCAACAGGGGTACAGCTTCTTGCCGGTTATGTTTGTGACCCGTTGTCTCCTTCCACTGGGCTGAAGCTTCATAGCCAGGGATTGTTGTTTTGTTTATGGGGGAGAACACAGCTCAGTAAATATGGTGAATGAATGAACCAAGAAAGGCAAGGAAGCTCTTTCCTTGTAAAGTCAGGTTTAGAATATTTTAGAAACACTGTTTTGACCCTTTCATGATTTTGAACTTAATTTCTCCATCGGCTGCTCATGCTAAGAGCACTGTTAGTAAAATCGGCATTTTCCCCGGGGCGCGGTTGCTTGAGGAGCAGACAGATGGTACTCTCAGCTGTTAGTTCATGGGGTGTGTTCTCATTTGCCTGCAGGTTCACCCTGAAAATGAAGACTGGACCTGTTTCGAACAGTCTGCAAGTTTAGATATCAAATCTTTTTTTGGTTTTGAAAGTACAGTGGAGAAAATTGCAATGAAACAATACACCAGCAACATTAAAAAAGTGAGTCTGTCCTGGGTTCCGCAGCAAGGGGGAGGCAGGCGGCCTGGGATGATCTGCTCTGGCGGCCCCCTGGGGACTGGGGTCCCGGCCGTGTCTCCAAGAGAAGCCCCAGTTGCCCCCGCGCCTTAGATCCCCGGGAGCGGAAGGCTCAGGTCCAGGGGCTGGAGTGCCGGGGCCGTGGAGGGGAGGAGGGGCCTGCAGCCCGGCAGAGGTGGGCGGGGCCGGGATGGCTCGCGGCAGCTGCAGTCCCAGGGGCCACCTGGGGGCCCAGCCTCCGTCGTGTGGTCCACCTGCCCCAGGAGAACTTCTTCTTGGGTTTATGCCACTACTCGTATTGAGGCGGGATTTGGGCTTTGAAATGTATCGGTGTGGGGTGTGAGTGCTTTCTGAAGGCTACTTAAATTTTTTGAGGCTTTGGGAAGAATTTGGATTGAGACACAAAGTACATACTGAGTGCAAGTGCGGTAAATCGGTGCTTTCAATTAGTCATAAAAATTCTCTCTCTTTAGATGGTATTTCCTAGGCCTTTGGAAAAGAGGAAGTAAAAGGTGAAAAACAAACGCAAAGGCATTCGGCTTTTTAAAGTTAATTCTAAAGGTGTTTTTAGTAGTGTTATGAAAACCCATGAGGGATGAATAATTTGAATGTTTACTATATGTTAACCTTAAAATTGGTTTTGTTTTAAAGGGGAAAGAAATAATTGAATACTACCTTCACCAGTTAGAAGAAGAAGGCATCACGTTTGTGCCCCGCTGGACGCCTCCGTTGCTCGCGCCCTCCGCTGAGACATCTGCCTCCTGCAGGAAGCAAGCAGCGTCGCTGGCGGTTGTGGCCCCAGAAGCCGCTCAGAAGGAAGGGCTGGGCAGCGAGGCCTTGGGCACCCCGAGCGGGGCCGCCGAGCCTGCCGCAGGGACCCCTGATGGTGAGTCCAGGCCACCAGCAGGACCGGCCAGTGGCGTGCCTTTATGTCCTCTCGGCTGCTCTGCCTGCTCCGCGTCCCTTAGGACGCCGGGCGCTGCATGAGAGGTGGAGGTGGCTCGGTGCTGGCCGCCTCCTCTAGCTTATGTAACCCAGGCGCTTGACTGTTTTCTTAGCATGAAGAAACCCAGATTGTTTAAACGAGCAGGCAGGGCTGTGTGAAGTTGTGACAGCATGTATTCCACAGAGCGGAAGGTGTCTCCCCCGAACACGAACACGGGGCGGCAGCTCTGCCTCTAGCACGGTCCTGGCGGTGCCGCTCCCCGTGCTCGCCACGTGCCGGGCCCTGTTCCCAGCGGTCTGTGTTCTTACCCTGCTCCACGTCACGGTGTGTGAGCGCCCGTGTGATGGTGGCCCCCGTCAGGCTGGGGACACCACACCGGGGCCCCGGGGAGCAGGGCGGACTCGCCAAGGTCACAGCCGTTGGCGGCAGGGCTCCTGGCCGCCGTGCTGCGCGCTCTGTCCTCTGTGAGCCCCCCGTACGCCCGCGCCCCTTTTCCTTTCTCAGACTGAGGCCCGTTGTAAAACGCAGGAGAATCCTGCACTCAGGAGCCTCGTTAAACTGCTGGTGCCTGTCTTTCGCTGCGTTCTTCTCTGCAGCTAGACCAGCCCTTCGCTCGCTGTCAATGGGCGGCAGCTGGCAGTGTGTCACTGGTTGGGGGGTACGTGCTGTTTTTGCACCTTGTGGGTTTTTCTTTGCTGTGCTTCATTTTATACCCCATTTTGCAGTTTATGTTACCGTATCATGAAAGAGGTTTCTTGTATTCTTGAACAGAGCTGCATTCAAAACAGGTTTAGATCCATTGGTTTGTTTTATTTCATAGTTTTATGTATATGGCTTAGAATTAAAAGTCATTGGGTATCTGGTAGTGCCATCATTCTGTCAGAATGTGTTGAGCTTTTGCAAATGGAGCTGGCCGCTGGGGCATATGCCAGACTCAGCAAGCTCCCCTGGGGCCCGGCGTTTGGTTGGCAAGGCTGTCCTCGGGGGCCCTCGGGGGGCCAGTTTCCGTCTGCAGTCCCTGCGGTGGCGCCGAGTCAGACCACACGTCAGCGTCCCTGAGCAGGACTCCGGAATACTTCCGGTTCCAGCCTTTTTGTGGTAAGTGACGTTGTGTGACTCTCGTTCCAGACAAACTGGATGCAGACTACATCAAGCGGTACCTGGGCGACCTGACCCCGCTGCAGGAGAGCTGCCTGATCCGGCTCCGCCAGTGGCTCCAGGAGACCCACAAGGGCAAGGTGAGGATCAGTCCCCCGAGCGGGGCTGCCATCTGAGGACCCGGGGACCCGGTCCTGTCCCCAGTCACTCAGTTAATGACCCCTGTTGCCGTAGCTGGGACTGTCTCTTCCAATCGAAAAGTCGCTGCCTCTGTGTCTCTGTTTGGTATCAAGTCTCTTGTGGCAGGTTTGGTGCCCTCTGCGTGTTATTAACGGTGTTTCCCTGGGCTTTACAGAGTTACCTTCCTTGAGAACAGTGACGTGCACAGAAGGTTTGGAAGGATTTGCAGGTTGTCCAGAGACTAGAAAGGCCCGTGCTTGGACGGGGAGGTCTCGGTAGGGTTCCAGCCACACGAGGCACCAGGCACAGTGACGAGCCTCACACCAGCGGGGACCAGGGGAGAGCAGAGGCGCGTCTGTGTGCCCAGCTCGTGCCGGGCCTCCCTGAGAAAAGAGGAGCCAGGCACTGCGAGCAGCTGGCTGCCCCCCAGCATCACCTGCCTTGGCTGGTGCCCAGGCCTGAGGGCCCAGTGCCACCTGCTGAGAACACGGCCACAGGAGCACCAGCTGCCGTGTGCCGGGCCCTGTTTTAAGGTCCGTCTTAAGTACTGCCAGCAGCCCTGTGAGGCAGGTGCAACTTTCGTCACCCTGTTGTGCACGGGAGGAAAGTGTGGCACAAAGACAGGCAGTGACGGGCCCAGGGTCTTCCAGCTGGTAGGTGGCGGGGCCAGGGTCGGAGGCCGGGCCACTGGGTTCCAGAACCCGTGTTCTTACCCACCTCCACGTCACGGGGTTCCTTTCTGAGTGACGGCGTCTCAGTGCCGTTTCCCCAGGAGGCTGGACCTCCCCCCATGGCTCCGCCCCGGAGACCAGACGTGCACCAGCGAGCGTGTGGCCCTGGAGGGGGCGGCACGGGCTCGGCCTTGTGTCCGCTCACGAGGCAGCCTGCTGGTTGCCCGCGGTGGCCTCTGCCCCGGGCAGGTTCCTATGCGTCAGGAGCGCCACCGCCGTGAGCAGAACCAGCGCTTGCTTCTGACTTTTTGAAGATGTGCACACACACTGGAAAGTGCACAGGCCACAGTAATTCCTAGGTCAGCTCAGTGAATTTTGAAGCATTCTCTGTTTGAGAAATTGATGCTTCACTTTACTTCACTGAAAAGAAAATGGGATACTGTAAAGGTTCTTCGGGCTAACAGTGCTGCTTCGCTGAAGCGCCGAGGCTGGTTTTACATAGGGCAGCGCTGCAGCCCACACTTGATGAGAAGTGAGACTTTCAGAGTCTGGTTCCCATAGTAACTTGCTTTTCTTCCCTTAGCAACTTTTCACATTGCTCAGAAACCTCTCTCTCTCTCGCCACAGATCCCAAAAGACGAGCATATTCTCCGGTTCTTACGTGCCCGGGACTTCAATATTGACAAAGCCCGGGAGATCATGTGTCAGTCGCTGACGTGGCGGAAGCAGCACCAGGTGGACTACATTCTGGACACCTGGCACCCTCCCCAGGTCCTGCAGGACTACTACGCGGGAGGCTGGCACCATCACGACAAAGGTGACCGGGGACCGGGGCCTTCAGGACCGCTCAGAGGCTGCCTTCCACAGGGTTCGGCGGGTCCCTGCGGGCGTGGCCCCCGCCCTGCCCCCGCCCTGCCCCTCCCCAGCCCGAGCAAGTGTGAGCGCCCAGCCCACAGCGCGCTCACGCGCCTGACCTGCTGGAAGCGCCCGGGGAGCTGGAGGAGCGGGGGCTGGGGCTGTGTGCGGCGGCGGCCTCAGGCCTCCGGCTGCCTGTGGGTGTGTTACTGCCGTTCCTTTCTTAATCCAGTGGAGTTTGGGATTACGGCACTGAAGACACGAACCTTGAAAGCAGTCTTTTCTGAGCGCAGTGCTAGTGAAGGGACTCTTCAGTGCCTGCAACCCCTACAATTACCTGCAAAAATGTATGGCCAGGATCATACATCAAAACAGTGGAGACCTCAGCTCCGTTTGGGGCGTGAGGAAAACATAAGGCAAGGACAGGGACACACCCAGAGAACTTCTGTGTGACTCCTTCTATCCTGCGCCTTGCGGGGAAGCTTGCGTTGTCACAGACGTGCTCCCTGTGTCCCAATGCAGAGTGGCAGTGGAGGCCACTGGGGTCGCCCCGGAGCGCCCTCTCCTGCCTCCAAGCCGGGCCGAGCGGCTCTGCCTGGGCCCCCTCCCGACTCATCCTGCCTGCCTTCTCCAGCTCGGTTGTAGGTTGTAGCCGTGTTGCTTTTTACTAGGAGTGCAAATTCGTTCCCCTTTGTGACTCTCAAAAGATTAAAAAGTTTGGCAGTAGGACATTAACAAACGCATCTCATTAACGTTAGGAGAGACTCTAAATCTCCCTTTCACCAAGGCTCGGGAGCACAGAAACGCCCTGTGGGTGCAAGCGGGGCAGACGGGGCCCACAGGCGGCGCAGCGTCCCCAGGGCCCTGTGTCAGGGTGGCCGCACCGACGCTCCGCCGACAGCACAGGGCGTCTCAGGGCGTTTGCCGGGGCACAACCCATCCCTGTCTCCCCTGCTGCTCTCCTGGGGCTGGGGTCTAGGAACCGCTGGCTCCAGGGCGCACTGGCTGCCGAGGCCACTTGCCCCTCTGTGTGGCCTGCTCACAGTGACAGGGGTTTGTATGAGGTGTTAGCGTCCTCTCAGGCTCCACCCATTACTCCTCCAGGCTGTAAAGAAGTAGAGCCAACATGTGCTGCTGTTACTATGGTTTTAAGAGTAAGATTTCTAGAAAGTACTTGTTTATTCTGGTTCTGAGGGTAGAAACCAGGGAAGCTGGGGTTGTAACACTCCTGACCCCGAACTTGGGCCCGCCTGTGAAACACGAGAGAAATGAGTGTCCGGCTCCCGGGCCGCCCCAGCTGCGGGCGGGCCTCTGGGCTCTCCCCGTCCCGCCTCCAGCTGTGTAAGCGGGGACCGGGCTCCCTCGGCCTCCACCCTGCAGAGCTGTTTCCAGGTCCCTGCTGACTGCTCGGTTGGTGGCTTTTGTGTTTTCCCTTTACAGTCTTTTTGGGGGAAAGGTTGGGGGGACCCCGTACACACGCCCAGAAGCCAGCTGCTGCTGCTCAGGAGGAAAGCGCTCGAAGCCCACCCAGAAGACAAGGGAGCGGGCTTCCTTGTCGGGGTCCGAGGCCTGTGTCCCCGGCTCCGCGGCCGGACTGGTGCCGGTAGTAATGCCTTTCGTTTGTCCCTCCCGCAGACGGGCGGCCCCTCTACGTGCTCCGGCTGGGGCAGATGGACACCAAAGGCCTGGTGAGAGCCCTCGGGGAGGAGGCCCTGCTGAGATACGTAAGTGCCGAGGCCGGGCGCCAGGCCACGGTTGGGCTCCCTTCCTTTCTCCGCCAGCGGGGCGCGGAGTGACTGTTGCTCTGTGATAAGAAGCCTGTGCTGCTTTTGTAATTAGAAAGGAGAATCTGTTCATATATTTGAAAAATTTCAAAAGCGGGCCCAGAAGTTTCAAGAAAAATCACTCTAACCACTTGAGGCGACCGCTTGGGAGCGGGCTCTGAGCAGTCGTCTGTGACCTTCAGCCCCACAGAGGCGCCCTGTCCCGTCCCTGTCCCGTCCCCCCCCCGCCCCCCGACCCCAACGACTCTCCGAACAGGCCTCCCTGCAGCGTCCTCCGCGCTGGCACTTCCTCGGGCCCGGCTCCGGGCACCCGCGGCGCGGGCGTTCTGAAGGGAGAGCGGGCTCCTGAATCGCAGCAGAGCGGCTCTGAAGGGCACCTCGCTGAGTCAGTGTCCCTGTGACAGCCCCTGGTGGCACTCTGAGTGGAGTAGGGGCCCCTGCTGCTGTGGGGGCCCGGTGCGCGCCGGCCCACCCCTGCGCACGCGTGTGCAGGGGGAAAGAGCAGCAGGCGTGGAGGGGCCGCTGGCGCGGGGCCGGCGGCCCTGCGCACAGTGTCGCGGCGCTTCGCCGGCTCTGGCGCTGCCCTCCCCTTGGCTGGCCCATGCGACACCGCAGTGCCCCCGCTCCACAGGCCCGCGCCTCGGCAGCTCCAGAGGCGCTCGTTCTGAAGACGCGGCAGCGGGCCGCGCCCTCCCTGCCGGTCAGGGGCCGCCTCCGGCCTGGGCCCTTGCTGGGTAGCAGGCGCTTTTGCCATAGAGGGCAGGGCTCGCCCCCTTTGCAGAGGGAGCTGTTCTTTGCCGGGGCGTGGTTGTGTGTATCGGGGAGCCTCAGCAGAGGACTCTGCGGTTTGCATGCTTGCCTGAAGCGTGCTGCGTTGCTGATGTGGCCGTGTCGCCGTCTTGAGACTGACACCGGGCTTCGCGGCCTTTTTGCACGCAGGTGCTCTCCATCAACGAGGAAGGACTCAGGCGGTGCGAAGAGAACACCAAAGTTTTCGGCCGGCCCATCAGGTAGGTGTGCGCCTTTGTTCTCCCCTCCAGCCTGTTGAGAGTAGGATTTACGTATTTTTAGTTGATTTTTAGATCTCAAATCTGGTTAGATTTTTAGGATCAAGTCTAAATAGCTTACTGTTTCCCATGCTTGAAAAGGTAGAAAACAGATAAGCATGTAACGTGGTCAGTTTTGAGGGGCAGCTGCTGGGTCTCGCTGTTTGCCACCCCTGCGCACTGCCGCCCCCGCAGGCCGGGTGCGGTGGCCCGTCTGGTTAGCCTGTGTGGTCCCCGGGAGCTCACGGTTGCAGGTTTTACCGTGTCTCCTTTTTTTGTTATTTGTCTGTCTATTTTTGGTGGGGGACGGGGTACAAACACCACCTTGTGCTCGTGAGTCATACGGCGGGTGCGGGTGAGCTGCGCTGGGACGTACGGAGGGTCTGAGGTCGCCCTGAGAAGGGTGTGTGCCGATGGGCCCCTGGGGTGGGCCTGAGGTTTTGTGCCCGCTGTAGCCCCAGCTCCAGAGACGGTGCCGACTCAGTGAACACTTCCTGAGCCATAGCTTGTCGCGGTCCAGTCACGCTGCGCGTCCAGGGCGGGTGCCGCCCCGGGGTCAGTGCGAGGGGCCCGGCCCGGCAGGCGCACGTGTGCCTTTCTGCTGGATCGCTGAGCACGTTGGACCGAGGGTTTTGCTCATTGTCCCTCAGCCCCTGGTCCCTCTGTGAGTACAGGGCTTGGTCCCCCACGCTGATCCCATGTGCTGCATACAAGCAGGCGTCAGCGTGGCTCATAACGCGGCAGTTTTCAAAACTGGCATCTTTGGGGAACGGCTGTAAGTGACTGACCCGGTTTGCTGTGTGCCGTGTGTGGAATAACACGTCTGCGCGCCTGCAGTTCGTGGACCTGCCTGGTGGACCTGGAGGGACTGAACATGCGCCACCTGTGGAGACCCGGCGTCAAGGCCCTGCTGCGCATCATCGAGGTGGTGGAGGCCAACTACCCCGAGACGCTGGGCCGCTTGCTGATCCTGCGGGCCCCCCGGGTGTTCCCTGTCCTCTGGACACTGGTGGGTTAGATGGCGTCGCCCAGCGGTCGCTAGCACTTGTAAGGCAGACACGCAGCATGCGTGCACGCACACATTCACGTCCTTGTGTCTGTGACTTGAAGTCTCAGCTAGTTAGGGAAAAAAGTTAACTTGGAAAGACATGAAATTTCTCAAGCGGTTTAAGGGGAGAAAGAATTCCTGTGTGTCTAGCGCCATGCAGATGGACCTCACAGAAGGAGTGTCTCGAACTCCAGTTCCCCTCCCGCCCTCGTAGCACCTTGTCGTTTTAACCTCTGAGGGCTGACGGCCAAGCAAAGGGGAGTACAGGCTGTTCTCTCGCTCGCAGGTCAGTCCCTTCATTGATGACAACACCAGAAGGAAGTTCCTCATTTATGCGGGAAATGACTACCAGGGTCCCGGAGGCCTGCTGGACTACATCGACAGAGAGATCATCCCCGACTTCCTGGGCGGGGAGTGCATGGTGGGTCCCAGGGCGGGGCCCGCGCCGTGGGGGAGGGGCGGGCGCTGGCTTGTACCAATGATTTCCAGACCTTTCGGTTTGGGTTGTTTTTGTTTTTATTATTTTTGGCTGGCATCTCTCTGATCCCCCAATTGTTTAGGTAATTTTTGATCACACATACATTTCCTCATTGTTAAATCTCGGGAGAACTTGTTTTAGAGTCTCATCTAATCGCAGCTTGCTTTATTCACTCAGCTGTGTGTGAATCGGATGTTTTCACTGTTTTGGAGGAGCTGTGCATTTTTTTAAGTACACTATTAAAAGAAGTGATTCTCAGAAATATTTTCCCATTGACAGTCAGGATAATGTATTAAAGGGGATAAAGTCAGGGAATACTCTTTTACGTAATTTGGGATTTTAAAAAAAAACACGGAATCAGTAGATTACCAGGCGAACGCCTCCGCTTCTCTACCCTGTCCTGGGATGAGGGAGTCGGAGGAGTTCAGTCCCCTGAGGACTCCCCGCCGCTGAGGCTCCACGGCCGGGCGCCAGGGCCAAGGCAGCCGAAGCCTGGCGGGGCCCGTGGCTGGGCCGCAGCGGTGGCCGAAGCCCCCTGGCATCCAGCGCCAGGGCCTCATGAGAGAAAGGGCTCTCCCATTCTTCACAGCGAATAAGGTGGTCTTTTCAAGATGTGTACACGTGGACCTGACTCACGTGTTCAGCAAATGAATCCGGCTTTTAGGAAACTGGACGGTTAGGGGAATCTAAACAGCTTTTAAACTGAGCTCCAAGTGCAGCAGTTCTGCTGTAAGGAATCGCAGGTAGGTCACAGGGCTGTGCAAAGGAACAAGTACATTTTCCAAGTGCCCATGATGTTCACGCTGAGGTCAGATTTGGCCCACAGACGACTTAGGTTACATTGGAGGACCGCGCACGTGGTTGTTGCTCGTGAGGGCGAGAAGAACCAGGCTGGAGTGGAAGACGTGCTTGACTCACGACTGGCGGGGTCTGTGTTTGTCTCTCTGACCACCGCGATACACCCACAGTGGGAGGGTCCCCGTAGCTGGTGGAGGTCTTCACACTCTGGCTTTGAGGCTTCTCTCCTCTCTGCTGCTGTTGAACAGTGGTGCTCACTTCTGTGTTCTTGTACAAGAGGGTTTAACCACGCGTTGGTGTGGAGTCATCTAATGTGATGTCTTGCGCGACAGGTTCCCAGTCACGTTTGTTTTCTGTGTGGTCACTCCCCAGGGCTGATCACACCGAGAGTGCTCGGGTTTACGCGCTGTGGTGTGAAGTCGTCCTACAAGGTCAATTAGGAAATGTATGGAATGCACAAATTCTAATTCAGCTCAGCTTGTTTCATGCAAATTCAAAAGCTCCCTGTTATTTTTTAGTGAACATGACTGACCATGTAACTTGAGGTAGACACGAAGCTTGCCTTGTTGATTATGTATCTTTACATAATAAAAATAATTCCTGTAGCTGCTGAGAATAATCCTTTTCTTAACAGAATGTTTTTCCTTTACGGTGGAAAATACTGTAATTCTTATATAAACCAGCTTTAGTAATTGAGTTGGTGCCTCATACATGTTAGCATGAATTCTGTGATAAATCACCTTCAACGTGTTTCCATTTATTAAGGCAAGACACACGTATTTCAGTGGGTTTTTAAAGTTACATTGCCAGGCCCTACAGAGCGAGTGGTGGCATCGCCGGCTGCCCATTTCCTCGGCGACCTCGGCAGTTGGCCGCCGGCTGTGGCGCCTGGCGTGCCGTTGGGTGACTCTCACCGCTGTGTTCCCCTTGTTTCCAGTGCGAAGTGCCGGAGGGCGGACTGGTTCCGAAATCCCTGTACCGGACCGCGGAGGAGCTGGAAAACGAGGACCTCAAGCTCTGGACCGAGACCATCTACCAGTCTGCCAGCGTGTTCAAAGGAGCCCCGCACGAGGTGCGCAGCGGGCGGGTGCCCGGGCTGCCGGGCCCATCCGCTCCCGGAGCGTCGTCGGGGGTCTTCCCAGTTGGACGTAGATGAGAAGAATCGGTGCTTTTGCTGGTCTTTGTCTGTAGACCTTTGTCGAACAGACATGGTGGAGTAGAAAGCAGCGGCGCCCGGTCAGAGCACCTGGAAGGGACGCTCGGTCGTCCCCTTCCCCGCTGCCCGCCCGCCCTGCCCTGTTTTGCAGAGACCCGGCCGCGGAGCCGTGTGTGGCAGGTTGACTCTCAGGCTTAGTTTCTTTATGGAAAACTAGGACCACTCTCACTTTCCATTTTTTTGACTGCATTTTGGTTATTTATACTTTTGAAGGCATTGCCCCAGTTTTGTCAGTCTAACGGAATGAGGAGAAATTTCCCCTTTTGCTGTCACGTTGCGGTGCAGAAGCAAGGGTGTTCCTGGGTTATGACTCTCACTCTGTGTCCTGGGATGTTGTGGGTGGCCCGAGGTGTGAGGGACTCCCACTGAGCCGTCCTGTCCCGAGCCCCAACCGCGGAGAGGACGGTGGCACTCCGCGGTGGCCCTCAGAGGGGACAGGCAGCTGGCTGGGCCGTGGCGGTGGCCGGGAGTGCCCCGAGCTGCCTCTTGCCACAGTGGCCGCCCCGCCCGGCCCTGCTGCCTGTCCTGCCGCTCTGCCTCCTGGGACCGTCTGCCCATCAGCAGTGGGGCCGGGGGTGCTTTTGCTGCGGTTGGACCAGGCCGAGATGGAAGTTCGCTGGGCTTGGTCACAGATTCTGCAGGGACGTCTCAGAGTCTCACTGCTGTATCGGGAGGGTTATTTGTATCTCTTACTTGGGGGCTAGTTTTTTGGAGGCAGGGTTCTTGTTTGTCCCCTCCAAGGCCACTGTTGCCTTTGTCCACAGCAGAGAACCTGTGAGTCACAGAGGATCTCTGGAGATGGGTAGCCAGGTTTTCTACAGCAAGACAGTAGAAACTTCATTTCTGCCTTGGGGCTTAAAAAAAGCACCCATGGGGACAGCGGTGCCTGTAAAATGAAGGCCGAATTAAAGGCCCCGTGGTCGGCGGGAAGGAGGGGGCCGCCAGCCGGGGGGCTGCCATCCCTGCCGAGCTCTGCCCTGGGGAGCCGCCTGGCAGAGCGCGTGAGTGGGCCGGCCTCGGGGCCGCCGCTGTCGTAGATGCGACTGGCGGGCAGGACGGAGCCTGCTCGTTAGGGAGGTCCCGCGGCAGCGGTGCCTCAGCGGGAGACGCAGCGGTGTCGTGGGAGGGTGGGCGGCTCCCCGGGCGCTCAGGGGGAGGGTGCACATGGCTCCTGCTTCTGCTGGGATTTTTTCCTGAACACATAGCTCTCCCCAGCTGATTTTAATTCCCACGTTCCTCCCACAGCAATCTTTTGAAACTATAACTTTGATCATTTCCTGTTGGGAAACTTTAAATGGGCGCTGAATAAAGTGCAGATTTCAGATAGGCACTCAACCCCCTGGCCCTTCCCCCGGCCCCGTGCCACGTGGCTCCCTCCTCCCACACAGCAGCGGCTGCTGCCACTGCCCCGCCCGGGCAGAGGTGCCCCCAGGGAGGCTCCCTCCGTCCCCCGTGCCCTTGGTTTAACTCCCCCTGCTCTGGGCCTTCCCTGAGCTCGCCCGTCCAGGGCAGTCCACACACCCACTTGGACATGTCTTGCCTTTTTCTTTTTTTTTTTTTTTTAAATCGTCACTGAGGACATGCTTACTGATTTTAGAGAGAAGGAATGGAGGGGGACAAACATTGATTGGTTGCCTTCCGTATGCACCCCCGCCAGGGACCGAACCCACGACCTTTCAGCCGTGGGACGATGCCCAACCAACGGAGGCACACTGGCCAGCACTGTCCTTTCTGCATTGCTGAGATGCTTCTGACAGTCGGGACCCCAGTATTTTAGAGTGCCACCTAAAGAGCGGAGACCGCGGACCGTAGGGGTAGCTAATGACGTGCACAGAGTGGGCCCGTGACACCACGCAGGAGCCAGCGGGTGGGGACCTGGGCGGTCGCCGGTGATGGTGCATGCAGAGCCCGCAGAAAGGACACAGGCCTGCGCGCCCCCCGCAGCCGCAGGCCAGGGCTGCGTTGGCCTCGGCTGCTGACGCAGCCCCTCTTCCTCCAGATTCTCGTGCAGATTGTGGATGCCTCTTCAGTGATCACGTGGGACTTTGACGTGTGCAAAGGCGACATTGTCTTTAACATCTATCACTCCAAGAGGTCCCCGCAGCCGCCCAAGAAGGACTCGCTGGGGGCGCACAGCATCACTTCCCCAGGGGGAAACAACGTGCAGCTGATCGACAGGGTCTGGCAGCTGGGCCGGGACTACAGCATGGTGGAGCCGCCGCTGATTTGCAAAGAAGGGGAGAGCGTGCAGGTAGGACTGGCTGTGACGTGCCGCATGCTGGCCTGGTCGCGAGGAGGGGTCTGTCACCTCACTTCTGTCCTGCACGGCGATGCCGTCTTGTCAGTGGGAGGCCAGATGAGGGTGTGTGGTTCTAGTTCCAATCAGAATGATTCAGGGAGCCAAGTGAGTCTTAGGAGAAAAGGGACTCAGACCTGAAAGGGGCTGGGGACAGAGCCCGTAACTTCGGTCTTGAGCGCACGTGTCGTCTTCAGCGTGTGTCCACAGACGCGCCCGGGAGGGAGGGAGGGACAGGCCCGCTGGGCGTGCGCAGCCTGGGTCGGAGACTGCCGCCAGCACGCCCTTGACTGTTCCGCCTGTTTCCTTCAGAGGGAAATCGCCCTGAATAGAAGTGGGGGGCACCAGTGCCATGGGGCCGTTAGCTGTCATTGCTGAGCTTCTGATTTATGTGGAAATGCTCCGTCAGCCCTTTGGTAAAATTCTAGCCAGTTATTTTGAGCACTTGTGCTTGGAATGATAGTTCTCGGGTGCTCCTGGCCTTCATAATGTGCAGATTTGCTGCCTTTACAGTTTTTAGGGATGAGCCTCTCAGTGCCTTCGTGGTCTTAGAAGCAGAGTGCAAGAAAGTATCCTTTTCAGTTTTAAACTAGCGGACAGACGGACAGACGTTGTAAGCTACATCTTTACTTCCAGTCTTTACTTTGCAGTCTTTAATTCCAGAATTAATGGAGGAGGTAATTGTCACAGATTGGACATTTGGTTTTAGATGGACATCCTTTTAACCCAGAACACACTGGTCAGATCATTGGAACCGTGCCAAAGGTGTGACCTGGTCCAGATGACCTTTTTTGACCTTCTCCAGGTCGAGCGAAGCGCCCACCTGAGGTCTTCCGCCCTGGTCCTCGGGGCAGGCGAACTCGGAGTGTCGCTCCCCGTTAACCTTCCCAGCACCAGCAGGGGCCTGGCTGCGGCCGGCCCTGTAACGAGCCAGAGTAGCGGGCCGGTCACCTGTCCAGACGGTTAGGGACCGTGACTCAGTGCGAGACGGCCCCCGGCTTTGCCAGACCCTCCGTAGGACAGGGACCAGAGGGGAGGCCGCCTCAGCCGGCTCTGCCCAACTCGTTCCAGGGCTCCCACGTGACGAGGTGGCCAGGCTTCTACATCCTGCAGTGGAAGTTCCACAGCATGCCGGCGTGCGCCGCCACCAACCTGCCCCGAGTGGACGACGTGCTGGCCTCCCTGCAGGTCTCCTCCCACAAGTGCAAAGTGATGTACTACACTGAGGTGATCGGGTCGGAGGACTTCAGGTACGGGCCTGGGCGCGGGGGACGTGCGGCCAGGACGGTGGGGCCTGGTGCCGGCGGGAGGGGCCTGTGGGCCGCTCAGCGTTGCCAGTGCACGGGGTCATCCGGGCGCAGGGGCAGTGGGGAACCTCGTCCCTGGGGGCCCTGCTCTGCGAGTGCCGCGGGGGGCAGGGGTGCTGCTGCGGGGGAGGGGCGCGGGACGGCAGGGGTTCTGCAGGCAGGGCGGAGGGCGGGGGGCTCAGCCCTCACACGTGTCCCCGTGCTGTGCTGTTTGCAGAGGTTCCATGACCAGCCTGGAGTCCAGCCACAGCGGGTTCTCCCAGCTGAGCGCCGCCACCACCTCCTCCAGCCAGTCTCACTCCAGCTCCATGATTTCCAGGTAGTGCCGCGCCGCCGCCGCCGCCGCCTCCTCCTCGGACAGCCCGAGCGCGCCACCCGCCGGCGGCCCGTGTGCAGACGACTCTGCCCCTAGGTAGCAGGTAGCTCTCGAGATGGTAGATGTAGTTACTGATCCCGAAACCATCTCGGCAGGTAGTTTTAACTCTAACTCAATAGCCATAGATTTTGTCTACAGCGTGCACAAAATCAAATCAGAGCACAAGGGCTATCATGAAAGAAAGTAGTTTATATACTAATTAAGAGGTTGACTTTGTCTCAGACGTTGATGCAAAAAATGTTTCGCATAACCTCCACAATGTCCCTTAGCGGATGAAGTCCTACGCCGCCCAGTGGAGGTGGCCTCGCCTTCCCACGTGGAGCCGCAGCGGCCGGCCTGCCCCGCACTGCAGCCCTCGCTTCCTGCCCGCGGCTGGTGGCAGTCCGCTCGCTGCCCTGAGAGCAGGCACCGCCGAGGTGGCAAGGACCGAGGGGCGGCCTGTGGGAGCCCCCGGCCTGGCTCCGTGGCCGGATGGATTCCCGGTTCTCCGGTCAGTGCTGGAGGGCCGGGCCCCCGTGACGCCAGGACAGCACCGCCGTCACTGAACACGATTGTCCCCTTCCTCCTTTTCAGATCTTCTTCGCGCTTCCCGAGCAGGGCTTCCCGGGCGTTCACTGGGGCGCGGGCGTTCCTTCCCTTCTCCTTCTGCGTGTTGCTCTTCCAGCCTGCTCACGTCAGCTCTGAGCTCATTCCCGACTCACCTCCCCTGCGCCCTCCGAGCTTCACGGCGTCAGAGCCCCGGGGGGTCCTTCTAGTCCCTGGGGGGTGTTTGGAAGACGGTCATGTTTGCCGTGTTGAAACGGTCTGGCGTTCGTGTTGGCTAGCCGGGGGCCTCAGGATGTGGCTGGCGCCGCAGGGTAGCGTGTGGCTTGCAGGGGCCCCGCCTGCGTCTTTGTGAAAGGAAGTGGGCTCGGGGCGTGCATGTGGCGTGGCAGCGTGGGGCTGCAGGGCTGAGGCAAGGGTTCCTTGGTCCACGTGACGAGATTCCTCCTAGGAATCAAGCAAATAGGAAACTGGTTCGCCTCTTACATCTTTTTATTCCCGCTACCAAGCCTGTTCTGTCTTGTACTGGCCCTCAGTTTTCGGCTTTTTAAAGCTGGTTGTTTGCGAACCTGCCTGTGTTGCCTTGGGATAGTCTCCTTATCAGACGTGACGTGCTGTGTTGTGTGCAGCAGAGGCGGTGCCCGTGAAGCTAAGGGATGTGACAGGCACGGAAGCTCGGGCCTGCACTGCCGTCCTCCGCGCGGAAGGTGTTAGGCGGGCGTCCCTGGGGCCCAGAGCAGAGGCATCCGGAGGGCTCGGAGGAAGCCGAGCGGCCCTCTGTCCCAGTCAGGGAAGCGCCCATACCTGCCCGCGCCCCGCCGCCGGCCACGGGCCCTCCCGCGATCGCCAGCCTTTTTGGCACATGGCCGGGCGTCTCCTGAGGAAAGAAGCTCCTCGCGGGCACCTAGAGGCTTGTTTCCAGAGAGCACAGTAGGGTCAGTTGCTGCTTCCAGTTGGTGCGTTCTGCTTCCCAGTTATAAGGACCTGAAGACGGTCCCTTCTCTCTCTCTCTCTTTCTCTCTTTCTCTGTGTCTCAGATGGCGATTTTGCTGACAGCTGCCAAGAAGCTGCTTCCCTCAACCGTGCACAGCAGCCCAGGGATGTTTGTAGAACTATTTGAATCACAGCCATCCCCCTCCCCCAGTCTGAAGATCTGTTCTTTTTAAGTTGATTCAGAAGTGACCCTGTTTTACCTCCAAAGGGTTGAATGCGTCTTTAAGAGTTCAGAGCGCAGGACCGCGCAGATACCTGCGGGTTGCTCACGCGTCACTCCGCCGCTCTCCTGGGGCGGGAGCCGGGGCCTGCGCCTCGGTGATGCGGGCGAGCCCGCCTGTCCTCTCGGTGCCCTGCACTCCTTCAGTAGCTTCTGTCCCCCTGCCTTTCCCAGCACTAATGAGTCTTTGGGTTTCCCTCCGTGACCGGTGTCTTAATTCACTTTTCTCCCTAAATCCACTATTTACATGTCAAATTCTGTAAATGTTTTGTAAACATATTACCTCACTCTTGGTAATACAATACTGATAGTCTTTACAAGATTTTTTTATTGTTATCAATAATAAATGTGAACTGTTTAAAGAAAAGAAAAGTCTTTTTGTTACTGTGAGGTCCCCCTGGAAGAGTTGTCACTCTTCAGAGACTGCATCGCTAGAAGGCAGAAGAGAGGCTGGGGCCCAAGCCCTGTGTCCCGGCATCCCAGGCATGAGGCCTCGCCTGCCCGCGTTTCACAAGCACGAGGCTGCCCTGCAGGGAGGGAGCCCCCGGCTCGCAGTCCCCTCGCTTCCCGAAGACACGCTGTGGTTTTTCTCAAACTCCGCAAGACCAGCCCGATGCGATGTTTCTTTGGTAATAGAGCGGCTCCTTCAACCAGGTAGCCTCAGAGCAAATCAGACGGGCAGGCGTGCACCTGCAGAAACCTGGGCCGCCTTATCCGCGGTGCCCTGTTGGGGCTGCGGGGGAGGCATGGGGAAGGCGTAGGGGAGGCGTAGGGGAGGCAAGGCGCATGCCCGGCAGCGCCCCACCCGCCTGCCTCCCCCTCAGCAGCCACGACATCATTCGCTTTCCCAGTCGGTGGCTGTCTTTGGTGGGAGCCGGCCGAGGGGACAAGCTGGGGTGTGGGGCGGGGAGCAGGTGATGCGCCTCCGCGTCTGCAGGTAGCAGTTTGTCCCCAGGGAATCTAGATCGCTAATATGCTCCTTCTGACCTCAGCCCTGCGGTGACTCATGAGTTGCCAGGTTGTCCCCAGAGGGAGGAAGGTTTCTGCACGAGCCCCCTCTGTGCGCTAGCATGTCCCTCCCTGCCTGTTGTCACATGGGGCCTGCTTTCCCAAGCCTTCCATTTAGCATCGGGGTCTCACGTTCTCACGGTGACAGCAGAGGCAGCCTGAAAAACGGGAGCATGCGTTAGCCTGCTGGGCGCCCCGACTGTCCCAGAGCATGGCAGCGACGTCGAACATCCCGAACGAGGGTCACCGCGTCTTCCTCTTGGGCCACCAAACCTCTCCTCTGTTTATCCTTAAGTACATGACGTTTCCCAGACACAGCCTGAGCCACCGGCTGTCTTCCAGCTCTGAGCGGGGCAGAGGTGTTCCCGTCCAAGTGTCGGGAAACAGGCCCCCGAATCTGTGAAAAAGTTGGGGTCTGGCCAGCCGGGGACTCTGGGAGGATGGCAGTGGTGGCCCCGCGTGCAGACAGCAGCTGGATTGCAGAGCCTAGAGCCCACGGGCAGCTGAGCTCTGTGCGTAGAGACCGTGAAAGTCGGCTACGTACGTCCCACCAGAGAGCCCCTGGTCGTCATCCACAGCAGACCTGGGCGATGGTACGGGCACGCGGACTCCGGAGTGAGGCGCACACCGCGCTGGTTACAGGGCCCGCCTGACGGACAGCGAGCGTCCGGGCGTGGGGCCCCGCAGTGCCCGGGGCGTCCCGCGGGGGGCGCCGAGGGCTGCCGTGGAGAGGCTAAGTGGTGGGAGCCGTCTCGCCCCTTTGAAGTCCCCAAGCTGACCTGCCAGGGCTCCCTTCTAGCGAAGGAAAAACTGCGGGGAAGAATGAAAGGAAGGGGGACAGGACGGAAAGACCCCACAGGCGGAGGCAGGTGGGCGTGTTTTGTGAACACTTACGAAGCACCAGGAAAACATCAAACATCAGGTCTGTGCAGAGCTGAGAACGAGGAACACAGCGCCCTGTGGACCGCGGGAGCAGGCAGGGCGCGGCGGCGTGACAGGAGCCCAGGTGCGCGGCGGCAGAACTCGAAGCATTAGAAGTGAAGGGAAGAAACCGCTTCAGAAATTAAGACCGAATTACAGGCAACACAAAGTGAAGCGTTTCATAGACGGGGCTTAAATGAAAGGTACCAGAGAGGACGGGTGAGTCAGGGAAGGGAGAGGAGGCGGAGAAGGGCAAGCACAGTGGTAACGTGGAAGGGGCCAGGGCCCGAGGATGGCCAGTGCCAAGGGGCGTTTTAGAAAAAAGGCTAGATTTCATATTTTTAAGGTTTTATTAGAGGGAGAGAAGCCTCGATCAGCTGCCTCTCGCACGCACCCCGTCGGGGTGACAGCCTGCAGCCCAGGCGCGTGCCTTGGCTGGGATTCGAGCCATGACCTTTCACTTTGCAGGACGACGCCCGGCCCACTGTGCCATGCCAGTCAGGGCAAAAAATGCTGGACTTCAAAGAAAAAGTCGCTGAGGCATCTGGGGAGGGAAATGGAGCTTCTCAGAGGGTGAGCTTTATGCAGGGAGAAAATGGAATCGTTAAGACTTTCTGGGAAAGGAGGAGTGAGCCAGGAGTTGGTGCCCAGCAAAACTGACTCCCCAGGGTGAAAGGCACCCGCCAGGGTGTCGGAGAGCCCCAGTCGGGGTCCCGTGGTCCCCAGCCATTCCCAAGGAGGCGCTGCAGGCGCCAGCCCCGCTGGAGACGAGTGAGGGCCAGCGCGCTCTGCCTGCCCGGCCCTGCTCCTTCCCGTCCCTTTGAGGGGTTGGTCTGCACCCAGGACCAAGAGCAAACCCGAGCTCTGCTGGGGGCGGGCGGAGGCGGCGGCTTCTCTGCAGCCGGCAAAGCAGGGGGTCCCAGGCCCGCCTGGGGATTTCCTCCTTGGCGCCCTCTTGTGTCCTGCCCTGGGACAGGATGCGCACCGCCTCCCTGGGGATGCCATCAGCCCTTCAGCTCGTCCCGGGGGGCCGGCAGCTCTCCTGCCCGCTGACGCTGTGCCGCCGAAGGGGTGTGCGGTTACTCGGACGTGTGAGTGTGACTGGGCCAGGCAGCGAACACGGTCTTCAGTAACTAGAGTCACTTTTTAAAAAACAATTGGTTTGGATCATAAGAGCACACTTCTTTGCAGTGAAATTTCAAACAGAAGACGGGGGAGTCGAGTAGAAACAAGTCCCCTCTCAGCCTGCTGTCCCTCCCGCCGCCTCCTGGCTCCCTCCGCCCCAGCCCCACACCTTGTCCTGCGCCCAGAGATGGCCGTGGGGGTGTGTCTGGCGACCCGCCCAGCCCTCTCCCAGCCACACAGCACACGTGTGTGTATCCTTTCTCATTTTCCTCTGAGCGCGCCGGCCTGCCCCTGCTCGCTTCCCTTCCGTGTGTCTCATCGGCCTTCCCACGTTTCCCATGGCCTGGCCACCTCCTCAGTCCCTTTCTGGATCTGGCCGTCAGCCTTTTTGACTGGAAAGCTCTCCACAGCCTCAGCAGAGTGCCCTTTGGCCTTGCCAGGGGGCAGACGGTGTCCCGGTTACCCATTACTCCCTGGTTCCCGCCTTCGGCACCCGTGTTCCCTGCGGGCCCTGCATCCCAGCAGCATGCGTGGGCTTCACATCAGGGCAAGGCCTTGTCCTCACACGTGCGTCTGGCGCCAGAGGCCAGGTGGCGACAGGTAACCAACCAGGTGTGCCGGCCATGTGAGCCGGGCATTTGGCTCTGACCTTTTTCTTTTGGACAGAAAATTTTTAATTTTTATGAGGTCACGTTTGTTGTCCTTTCCATAATCGCTTCTAGGTGTTAAATCTTGTCAGAGAGGACTTCCCCATGTTAAATTCTGCTAAATTTTCTTGTGGTTCTCCCATGGTTTTGGGGTTTTTTGTTTGTTTGTTTTTAACACTTAAATCTCTGATGCTCCTGATGATTTCCATGTGCAGAGCAAGGCGCTGACTTTCGATGAGTCCTCAACGGTTCTCCAGATCCCAAGGCTGCAGGACAGAGCCCAGCCCACCCCCGTGACAGCCCTGGGATCGTCCTCTAGGGACTGATGCGGCGGGGAGGGGACAGGGTGCGGCAGGTCCCCGGGGAGGCCAGCGGGGCAGCCGCCCGGGCACAGCTGGACAGGTACAGGTGCCGAAACGCTGCAGGAATAAACGCAGCGCGAATGCCGAGGAACTGCGTGCTCTCCCGCACGCCCTCCCCCATGGCCCGCCACAGCCAGGGCAGCGGGCGGGGATGTAAGGAGGGGCCTTTGCAAGGGACCCTGTGTGTCTGCGGGCCTTTGCTGCGGTGCCCCCACAGGCACTGTGCAGCCCCCACGCCCAGCCGTCGGCTCTCCTGTGTCCGACATGGCTGTCGCCTGAGAGCGAGTGATTTATTTTGTCCCATTTCTAAACACTTCGGCACGCCTCCCAAGAAGCCGTTTGGATTGGAAAATCAGAGAAAGCGGACGAGGATGTGCAGACTGGAAGCAAGTGGGGAACGCGTTGCCGTCGAACACCAGCTCTGCTCTGCAGGAACAGGATTTGGGGCCTCTCATTGGTGGGCATTTCCTGGGCAGGTCTGACCCCCAGTGCCCACCTGCAAGGGGCACACAGGGTTTTGTGAAGAGATAATAAAGAATATCGCCTCTCCTGTCTCTGGAAATCCGTAGTGAGCGTCTGTGAAAGGCCTGTAACGTCAGCCTGCAGGGGGGCCGCTGCCTGTCTCCCAAAGCCTGGTGACAGGGCTGCCGATGAGGGAAACGCAGGCCTGTGCCACCGCATCACCGAACACGGAAGAGCCCTGACTGCCATGTGCCCAGCCACACGCACTCCGGGCTAGGCCACCAGCGCCCCCGCCCCCGTTCTCTGCTGTCCCCTGAGCGAGAAGCTTCTGTGGGCCCCCCCTCGGGATGATGCCCAGGGTTCGCTGGGAGGCCGCGAGGACAGTGGGGGACGGGCAGCGAGCCCCTCTGCCCCCGCGGTTGGCGTCCTGCTCTGTCCTCCGGACAGCCTGGCAGTGTCCGCTCGGAGTGGCGGGGATCTGTCCCCTCCAGGTTCCCCCACTCAGCCCCGTTTGGGGCGGGGTCGTTCTCTGCCGGGACGGGGGCGGGGGTGGGCGTCCTGGGTGGTGCAGGGTGTTCTGCGGCACCCTGGCCTCTCCCCTCCAGCTGCCGGCAGCACCCGCCAGGCGTGACGACCAGCACTATCGCCAGACATTGCCCCCTGTCCCCTGGGTGGGCAAGACCATTCCTGGTTGAGAATCCGTGTTACAATCTTAGTGTGATCAAATACTCGGAGGAAGACACGGAGGCCCAGAGAGGTTAAGACCTGGGCCTAGAGTACACAGCGGGTCCACGGCGGTGGAGCTGGGCGTGCTGGCCCAGGGCACCCTGATGGTGCACTGCTCGTT